AGCGAAGAATAATGTAATAAAAATTGCAGATTTGAACAATCATATTTTTTTGGGAGATTTCTTCCATTTCCAGAAAACGAGGGAAATATTTTTTCTAGGGTAATATCTTCAATGGATATGATTTGTGAACTATAACATATTGCCAAGCATTTAGAGTGGCAGACACAAAAAATAATAAAAACACATCAAGGCAAAATAAACATATTGTCAGGTTCGTTTCGAGGCTAAAATAAGATAATAAATAATGTTTGATACCAATTTCTTTAACAGACTTTAAAAATAATGTTTTTCACTCTAGAAACCATATGTCAACAATATGTCATAATATAAATGATCATGTAAAAATGACACCGAATACAAAATATCAACAATATTTTAAGGTTTGTAATCTTTTGAATCAATTTTTTCCAACGTGACCAACAATTATTACTAATGAACGACTTAAACGATTGTAAAACTTATATTGGCATTTATTGGATTAAAGCTAAACTAACAAAATAAAAACCAATACCCTAGTTTTTATTTTGTTAATAATTTCCGTTTCGTTAGGGAATTCGGTTAATAACGGTTTTTAAAATAATTCGATTTTTTTTTTAGTAAAAAAGATTCCCAAGTGAGTTGTGCGATTAAACGACGTTGGTTAAAAGTTGATGTTGATGTAAAAATATTTATTAACCTTTTTGGCTTTGATGTATGCTTTTTTTGTGTCTATATAAATTCTCAACTCTCGATAACATTGGTAGATATTGAACGTATATACTCTTTATATAAAAATATCTTGACACCAAACAAGAGGTCTTTCATATTTAAAAATCTCAAAAAATCGATGATACTACAATTCCTTAATTACTTAAAGCAAAATATTAAACATTAATGTATCAATGGAATCTCTTTTAAATATATTTAACGTATAACAACGTATATCAAACAAAATTTAATTTCATATACCTAATTTATAATATAATAACGTAATTTTCAATAAATATATTATTAAAAAATATTAATTTTAATTTTTAGTCTTTCTTTATTTTTGAAAAATTAGTACATATTTTAAGAATAATTAATGTAAAATTAAAATTATTTTTATGTATATCTCGTCAAATTTTAGTGCATTAAATCTACATTCTACATTATGTAAATGAGTATAGAAAAAACCACTCTCATTATGTTTAATTCAGGTAATAGTATTGAGATTTAATCACCATATGAATTACCTGTAAATCAAGTTTGAAGCACTGATAGTAATATTTTAACTGAATTTATTCATAATATTGGAATAAGTCATTATTATTAATTAATTATAATTGTTTAACATTGCATACTAAACAATGAATTTACGAATATTCGTATGGAACGCAGGCGAATTATACGTACACCAAAACGTACTGGACCCTCTGCATTTTATACCCACTCTATATATTAAAATTCTTGTATCTCAATGAATACTTATGCTAAAATTATTATTGACCCATCATCATTCTTTGAAATCAAAATGCTAAACAATGACTGTTTTAAAGTTATTAGAAAAATTATTATAATTACATTTTTTTCTTATAAGTAATAAATAATAAAAATATGCTATCAACATAGTCTAAGGAGGCATAATTATTAAAATACAATAACGATTGGGTGGATGAAGTGACTTCTTCAGTTTCTTTGAAACTTCTTTCAAAGTCATTCAATTGATAGAATATTAAGTTTATATTGCAATAAAATAAAAACATACGCTTTAACATTTTATTTTTAATTTAATTGAATTAAATGTATTATTAATTTTCTTATTCTATAGTCACTAAAGAAATAATGGCCTTATACTAATTAAAATAACTAATTTAATTTTTTGATTGGACATTATGAAGATTTCGCGTGAAAATTCTATTTATTGAAGTGTTTTTAAATTTTATTATGTACACTCAAAATTATTTGAAATTAAATTATTAAATGCAGTTTAAATAACATAAGTTTTATTTTCGGTGCAAAGTTATAATATAATTTATTATTTACTATTATTATTTATTATTAAAGGTATATATAGATAGTATGTTTTTTTGTTTTCGTCTTATAATAAAATAAAACATTGAAAAATGCTATAAAAATTACTTAATGATGTCCAATTTTCTTTATAATGAAAGAGCTAGATGACTTTATTCAAGGAAAATTATTCGCGAAGATAAAAAACAAATTTTTAATACAACATAAGTGTTAAAATTTTTTTATAGAAATAATTATTGCCGCCAGTATTTTTGATTTCAAATCTACAATTTTTACAAGATCTGCCTAGACATTCCAAAGGTATTCTGAAATCTGTTGACTTTTGACCAAATAATGATATTTTATTTTAAGTTCAGGCGCATAGATTTTAGTAGAATAATTTTATTTGTATAAGTCAATTTTGTTCAAATTATATATGTATTAATAATTATTGTGAATATTTATTATATATATAAACTATTTACTTATAAAAATAATTAAGAATAGAAAAAATATAGATAGTAAATATTTTCAATATTTATTTATAATTAACGATTTACTTATTTCATAATTAATAAAATTAAATAAAAATTAATAAGAATAATAATATAAGTAATAACTTATATTTTATACTATCATTTAGTTATTATTATTTATTTTTATAGGTATATTAATTAAAATATAAATAAATACTATAATAAATTATATTAAATTCATCACGTATACTTTTAATTATTTGTTAAAATAAATAGATTTCATTAAATTATAATATGGGTAGTGCTTTAATTCCAAAAATTTAAGTATTGTTGTTTAAAGTGCAATAATGATTTTTAATTTAACTCGTATAAAATTGGGTATATTTTTTTTAGAATTTATATAATTAAATTATTTATATAATTTTAAACTTATTTTTAAATAAAGCAGTGTTACAAAACAAGTTATAAATTTATATGTACAAGTAATAAATAATTGTTAGTAAGAAGTACTATATTAATTAAAAATAAATATTTTAATATTAAAGATTAAGTTGTATGAGTTAAATATATTTAATTTTATTATTGAAGTTAATTGTAAACTATCGTGGAACGTAAATGTTTATCGAACGCTCACATTTACCAATCGTACATGTTTATTGAACTTAAACGTTTATTGAATAATAAAACTTTGACCGTATACCTATTAAAACAATAGAATCTGTCCGTGACGCCCAAACGTTACAACCGAACGTGACGGTCGACAGTGATAATCTTTTTTTCGGATACTCTGTAAAGAAGTTTCATTTCAAAACTTTCAACGAAATGATAATTACATCAAAAGTTATAAGCATTTTCAGTTTTATTTGAGACACTCTGTACACGCCTGTATACACAAGTGTAGTACGATCAGGTTGTGGCATCTTTAATCATTTTTTATCCAACGAATATTTTTTTCCTTAAATAATTTTTTCGGTGTAGGACTATGTTAATAATTTATTTTTAATCCACCAAAAGTAATTAAAAGTAACAAAACTAAGTGGGACACCTTATATATGGAAGTAATTTTATAAATATTGACTGATAGAAAAACTTTTTAAATAAAAATCTATTGCAAATTTTTATGGTTTATATTTTATTGAGACCTTATATTCGTGTAATTCTAATGTAGATATAAAAAGCTTAACTGTTTATTATCAGAGAATGGTATCTTAAAGCAACAAAAATTATAACTCTACATGTCTTCAAAAATTTTTTTCGTAATTAAAAATAAAAAATCTATTCCTTATTTTACAATGATTTATAGATATTCATGTAATATTCATTTATATATACTAAATTTAAACACGTTAAAATTAATAACTGCTTCAAGTAGTAGTATTAAATTATCATTTTCATCAAACATTATGTCATAAAAAAATTTTTATAGTTGTTATATATTGGTTCATTTAAAATTACCCATACATTTCAGAACTCTTTTAACTTATTTTTGTTCACAAATTTTACTTTTTTGTACATTGTTAAATTAATAATTATTTATACTTTTATGAAGCACTAAAAAAATTACAGATTTCTTTTTTATTAATTGTTAATAATTGATTTTATAGTAATATACTATGCACATTGGAGTAATCATCATCGATATTTTAAGAACACAAATAAAAAATTGTTTGTTTTTGATTATAAATCTCTATACATGTTGTACCCTTCAATTATGAGTACCGCAAAAAAATGAATCATGAAAGCATTCAAGTGTATAGAAAAAAACATATTTATTAATGCTTTTTTTCTTAATTTTAAAATAAATATAATGATTTCATGTTAAAATTATCATTTGAAGTAAAATTGTGTCTTTTTTTATCTTAGCTAAATAATTATTATCTAATAAATATAAATGCATCAAAATATTATTTTAAACAGAAATCAGTAGAACATAAAATATTTTAGTTAAGATATAAATTTTAAATAAACATTATTGAATCCTTTAAATGATCGTGTTAACTTTTATATTTAATGATAGCTTTTTGAATTAACAACCATAAAATTACATTTAATGTATTTTAAGAACATTTTTATGTTAACATAATCTTATGTAAAAACTATACTTATTTTGAAAACAACCATAAAATCTTAACAATGGTTTATACAACAGCGTTATAAAATTGTAGGAAATTTCATAATTATAATAATTTATAAACATTAAAACATAAATGATTAAAGATTTGATTTTTTATAACTACATACAATTTTATACAATTTAAAATAAATCTATAATCAAATTTATAGTACAGAATTAAATTAATATATTACACTAAATATTAATATATACATTATATTTAATGTACATAGTATTCAATGGTAAAACATGCGAATTCAATAAGAAAACTTATTTGGTATTAATAGATTTTTTACTCGATTTTATTAAAGATTTCATTTTGTTGATGCATTTGTCCATGAAGTTAGATTTCCTAATATTACTCATATTGGATGTAGATACACTACTACATTCTTCTGTTTCATCGAACGCGTCCAGATATCCTTCCAGACTTTTAGCTTTCTTCATCTGAGTATCAACTTGCACTTTTTCAGAGAGTTCAGTAGTTTCTAGTAAGCCTTCTACACTTCGAGCTCGTTGGTTATTGCCTCTCTTTTTAGGAGGACTCATAGGTGGTCTCCAACCAGGTGTTTTCGAACACTTCCTAATTCTATAATAACAAATTAAATAATTTTAGTTATATTTATATTAATTAAAAAGGTAACGGCACCAGACATTAGTATATTAGACAGTTTTTTTAATAGAGTATAATACCTAATAAATAATTTATTAAAGTTTTAAATAATATTTTGATTTTCAAATCAAATATAAAGCTCAATAAAGAAATATAAGCAAAATTTTCAAAACCTTAAAAAATGACATAAAAATTACCAAAGACTGGCGACATGCCAATGATTGGTACCGTTATCCTAGTTAAAAAATATTTTATTTCAAGGAACTACAATATTTATAAATAAAATTTGAACATCATATCGGTATGCGCAACGAATAAGGCAGTAACACTCACTTTTTCTTACTTTTTAGAAGATAAAAAATAAAATTTATTTTCCAATTACACTCTATATGTTTATCAATTTTCTAAGTAGTTTAATTTCAATTCAAATCAAATTTTCGATATTTTAAAGAATGTTATTATAAGAAGAGTAAAACTTAAATCCAAATACATCATAATCTCCAAGAACAATTTTTTGAGTTACTGCATTATTCATTGTGCAAGACGATATTACTAGATATTATATCATTTGTTAAATCGAATAGGCATTATTATTGGTAATTTAAAACAAAAGTACAAACGTTTGTTTATTGCTCTTATTAGTAAATTAAACTATGAAAATTAGAAACACATGCTAGTAAAAGTGATAGCTTCAAATGTTTTGTAAATTATATAAATATTTTTTATTAAATTTTCTATGTGTATGTGAAACTATTGTCTTGCATCAAGCGTTATAGACTATCTAAAATAAAATTTATTGCTAAAATACGTTTAGTCCATTACGGAAATTAATCAAGCTTAATTACTTCAATATCAAGTTCAATTCCAGTTAAAAATAAAATTTGCACACAGAGCTCACCTATATTATTTGATATACTATTGCGTTACCTTATAAACATATTAAATAATGATGAACTATAATTTCATTGTTTTAACTAATCTATAATAAAACCTTTTGCTTTCACAAAACTACTAGGTTTAAGTTCTTATGATTATGGGTTTTATTATTATTCTCCGGAAAATAAGAGTAATTATTACCCACCTAATTTAGTTGTTGTAGGCTGTGCAATCAAACAGATGATCAAAATATAGACAGTCACAAGCACACAGTAAGGGTTGACGTTATAATAGTTTACGTCTACCGTGTACCTGGAAGTGTTCGGCGCTAGTCAATCTTTACTACCACCAAATTCCCTCTCGCTTTCATTGGATTGTGTTCTTTGGTAAGTTGGAGGTGATCTACCCATAATTAGAGGCGTATTTGGTGCCGAAGGATCACTTTTGATTGTTGATGCTCCACCACCACATCGAGCCAACGAGAGCGTTGTGCTCGCCGCACCATCACGAGTATTCAGTTCACCCCTCATAAATCTTTCTAGTTTTTCCACACATGCATCTTGATAATCGTGAATCCACCGGACTCCATTAAATTTGCATACGTTGCGCATGTCTTCAGGTAACGTTTCTGGCTCTGGCCATGAAAAATTATCTATAATTGGAATTATATTACATTGATCTGACAAGGCGGCAACAATTTCCTAAAATAAATAAATTATGACATTTAATATTTTTAAGAAAATTAAGATTAAAAATATACTACCTTGTGGACCCAGTCTTTACATTCATTATCGCCTATACATCTGTCCAATGCTTTTGGCGTGAGAACTAATAGGAAGTTTTTTGCTTGTTTGATACTTTGTAGCAAATTATTGTCAAACTTCCCAGCTTCTAGTCTTTCAACATCGATGAAAACAGAAAATCCTCGGAGTTGAAGATGAACTTTAAGTAAGCTAAAAATTTGAAACAAGTTGAATAATTATTTGTTATATTGTAATATTATTTATCATATTTTATATTTTATAACATGTAATATATCATACCTCGCTAGTTGAGATCCAGTAGACCTACGATAACTTATGAAAACATCTAGATGTTTGTTTATGTTTTCTTCAAATGAGGATGTACCCATCATTGTCTCAATATCTAACATTTACAAGTAATAAAATTAGATAAAATTCGTATTAAAAAAGTTAATGTATTTTATAATCAGAGTTCCCGAATAAATATTTCTATTAAATAATGTAATGGAAATAAATATTATATTATATTATAGTAATAAATAAATATAATGATTTTTCTTTCAAATATAATAAAACAATTGAATTATTTTTCACTTTGCCATTGGATAACTTAGATTAGATAATATCTAATCTAAGTTATATAATATATTATATTATTCTAACATGAATTAGTATAATAATAAAAAAATAAATTAAGAGAAGGTATATTTTAACTAATATAATATAATAATAAAGTTTACCTCTAATTGAATCTAATATCCTGTATCGATGAATACTATTTGAAATTCCACACTCATTTGCCAACTGGTCTTCCGATAAAAACCTTAAATTTTTAAGTAACATATTATTGTCAAATTAGATAGAATATTGAAATATTAATAGAATAAATCAAATAATAAACGAAAAGTGTCTGAAAATATTTACTTATTCTATTTAAAATATTAACCTTATTGATTCTTTATCGACACCTGCATTAAGCATAGAATACGTGTATATAGAGAACTCTGGGCCAATAGTTTGTAAAAATGAATTCAAGTTTGTTGAATCTCTACTGCTATAATCAGCCAGTCGTTTTAAATTTTGGATTTCTCTCATAAATCTGTAAAGTGTAATTGCAAATGTATAAAACATGATATTTTTTGGATTTTATTACTATTATACCTTCTTCGTCTAATTCCATTGTGTATTCCAATGTCGTCTCTCAAATTATGTTCGTGCAACTGTAATAATAAATCACCGTCAACTCTACTCTCTACAAAATTCCTTGCACATTCACTGAATCCTATTTGTTTAACCCAAAGGGATACGTCTTCTGGTGACCATAATGGTACTTGTTGGCTAAGTTTATGGGGTACTACCTCACCAACTAGTCTTAACGCCTGAGCCGCAAATTTGGATGCTATCGCATTAGGGCAACTGGCAACTTTTTTCAAAGGTTCGATCGCATTAATTTCTTTAAACAGATGCGTCTTTCCTTGTTGTTTTTTTATTCCTGCTTCCATGCAAAAATGAAACGCAGCTAAGTTACATGCTTCCTCTCGGATCGAACTCAATACTGGAACAAGTCTTTCTAACCAGTGATGACTTTGGCCATGAGCATGAGCCAAATTTGATTTAGCAAATTCTGAAGGTGTGTGCGTAGTAACGAAAGGATCAATCAAATCCAGAGTCTCAGATTTCAGAACTGCTGCTTCGATTTCTTTGTTTGCAACTAACACAGCAATTGCTAGGAACGCATAGTATTTAATATTATCATCATTATTGAATGCTAAAGTAAATAGCCAGGTAGGAACATTTCTTTTAATCATCAGCTCTTGGTTCTCAGCTCCGCCATAAAGTGACAAGTTCGCTAATGCACCAGCACAATGCCTCAACGTTTCGATGTCTCGTCGTCGACATTCATACAATAGTACATCGAGACCACCAAGTCTTATTACATCACTACAAGTGACTTCGCTGTGTTTAAATAAATGTTCAAGAAGTCCTATAAATAAATTAATTAAGTTTGTATCATAAAATATAATTAAAGTTTAACTATCTATCTTATTACCTGTGCTAACTTTAGATTGATCTGCTGAACTGACTTGACTTTTGTATGCACATACTACATGTACAACCTTTTCCAATCCGTTATCCACGACATAAGTACGGTTCTCTGTAGTTAAACATTGTTCTAATAATCTAGCGCTAGAGAATTGAATTTTTTGATCTTTTGACATACAGTTGTTCAAGAGCATGTCCATTCCACCACAATCTCGAAGAGTATTACACAAGGAATATCCCAGTTCATGGCCGTACGTTGGCACAGCCCATGCTTTACATATCATATCATACATTTTGTTCAACACTAGAGGACCCTTTGTCTCTGCGTATTTTCCGGTTGTTAGTCCTTTAACGGTCGTTTCTATGTACATAGAATACTTATTTATGGCAACTTCGACGTCTTGAGTATTAGCCATTTCGCGAAGTTGATCTAGATCGTCAAAATTCATATTCAATATGTCGTCTTCATTTCTGAAAATAACAGTTGACGGTGGAGATCCTGATCCATTGTTCATTTTTTGAGACAGCTACAAGATAGAAAATTTGCTATTAATATAAAAAATGTTATTAAAGTTTATAAACATCAATTGAATTACCTGTGACGAAGCTGTTGACATTAAAGCCTTTGAACTTGTGCACATTCCTTTTTTCGTAAAAGTGAAATTTGATTGAGATGACTGGGCAATATGTTTCTCTTGATTAAACATTCCAGATGATGTGATTGTCTGTCTCTGTTGTGCACTTGAAGCTTTCTAGAAATATTAAAATTATTGATAAATACACATATTCAAAATAATGAATATTTAATGAATTTTCGATAAAGCAAATTATTGCCTAATAAAAAAAAGTAAAATATAACATTTACATAACTTTTTATGTTAAATAGAAATTTTGGCATTAATTAATTTGATTGAACTTGGTTTCTTTAAATAAGCATTCTAAGACTGAGATAAAAATCACTAAAGTTTATCTTTATGCGTTTATCAAATTTTCAAGAAGAATTGACAAAAAAGTTTTTGATAACGTACCTATAGTAATAAAATGCATGTATAAATAGAATATATCCGTGTAAAAGTTATAACATTCCTGAACTGCACGTTAGAGACAAAATGCTGTTTAAGTAGTTTTTTTGCGTTCACGACGCTTTGTTTACATAGATTATATTTTACTATTTATTAAGAATCCTGTGTTTGAGATTACTTTAACATTGATAATCACACATATCATATTTTCCCAATCTTATGAACAAATTTTAATCGAAAATTTAATAATACTGGTATGCAATATTTGTTTTATATTACACTATTACCATTGGTTATATTTATAAAGACAACTGCAGCAGACAATAAATTTCTATATTCAAGTTTTACTAATAATTATAAATATTGGCGGTTTTAAATAATACATGCTTCGCAATATATATAGTAAAACTGTTTGTGAATAAAAGTCATACATAACACAAATTTGAATTTAAATTTCCATAAAAAATCATTTTCGTGGCGTTTTCAATTGTCCATCACATTTTTCTGTTGAACTAATATGACATGCCATTGTATATTTAAGTTTGTTATATTTTGTGAACTAGATAGTACAATTTGATTATAGGTAATTATGATGTAACCATAACTGAGTACATTAGTTTGACACTATAGTCATTTTTGGTTAGTAATCATAGATACTAATCAATGAAAAATAACGACTACCTTTTCTGCACTGAACGAGTCATTCTGGGCTTTCATTGTTACCACCTTTAAAAATTTATTTTCCAATGAAAACGATTCCCGGATAAAAAAAAAATATATCTCCTGAACAAATAATCACAATTAGAAGTACTACACCACACAGCGATACGTACGTCTGCGATTAATTTACGAACTCGTGTCTACTGAAACGCCGCGACGTATAAAAAACCGAATTGTAGAAAGCGCTCTAAAACTATACTTAGACAATCGCGAATTTTCTACTCACTGTCTTGTCTCTGTGCGTTTGTATGTTACTTGTGTGGGAACGCTTATAAACTCCCACAGAATAACGCTAGAAAAATAATAACAACTGATTAATATATGTAGGAAATGTAAAAAAGAAAACAGTTGATTCATTTGCGGACATTTTAATTTTATTTTCAATGGTACAAATGACAAGACCATTTAGGGTATGTTATTATTGTATAAAATCACTACTATAACTAGTTATGCATAATTTCGTGTGCAAACCAATGAATAATATTACATTGTCTTATTATATGTATGATCGAGTTTGTCTTATAGCTTTCGTGCGTTGGCAATACAAACCGTATTTTTTTTACTTAATTTATAAAATTATTTTTAAGTTTTCAAAAAATTGTTATCGTCAAATTTTATGTGGTTGGTTATTAAACATATTTTTTCATTATATCGTGTAATATGATTGCAAAACGAAAAAAAAATATGAAATATTTAATAAAAAGCGCTTCGGGTTTTCTTTGATTTCAAATTGTTTTAAAGATGACATATAGAAAAATAAATTATTTAATGGCTTTACCCTTATAATAATGACATCGGTTTAGTATTCACATTCCAATAAACAATAAAAAAAAGGATAAAAAAGTATTTGCTTTAGGAATAGTATAATTTTCTTTTTTGCTTAATTCAGCATAGACCCTTATGATTAATAAAATCAACTTAATTTTGCTGATGTTTGTTCGGTGGATATTAACAATATAAATTGAAATTTATATTGTTTAATTTAAAACTTTGAAAACAGCTCTTATAAAAATTAGTCAGTCAGAAATTAATCTTTATAAAAGCATTTCATTAAACATATTTCACTATGATCGTAGTATAAAATGATATACACATAATCTATATAAATTTTGTCAACAACTCCAATTAATACAATTGTATTAATTCGATTTTTTTTGCTATGTCCGGTGGGCTGAATATTTTTTTTTATTTACATAATTTTTTTTTAATCTAATCGTTTATGAAATGGCACGTGTGTTCTATGATCAAAAAATAGTTCAAGGGCACCGTCTACTTTTATTAAATAATATTATACCTGACGTTAGCTTTTGTAAAAACAAAAAAGAGATACGCTAGTACTCAATATAAATTTAAATGATATTTCTTAATTAACACCACCATTAGTCGTTTATTGACCGTGAACCATTCGTGTCATTCAATAAAATAAATAAATAATTTTGTTTTCTTAAGGCGTAAATAAATCCGTAGAAGTTGACAAGCTCAAATGAAACTTGCACCAAAATAATTTTTGGCCACTCCGCCAAAACAAGACGAAAAAAATTTTTTTGATTTACTCATTTAGCTTTCGGTTCTCCCGACGATTTTTTCAACCGAGTTATTTAAATTAGTACACGATTATTTTTAGTGAAAGACCGGACAGTTTTTTTTTCGCAAATATTTTAAACGTTTAATATGCTGTTTTTTTTTTTACTGTGTATCCTAATGCACCATCATCCATAACGAATATTGTATTGTTACCTTGGATCCGTTGAACGACGAACCCTTTGGCATTGTTTCCGCATTTTTGGCGCTTCCACTGGCGATACGCAAAACACCTACACCTCGCATTTCTATTATAGTACTCTAAAACATATTGAAAACATTTTGTCGATTTTCACAGGTAGCGGCCATTGGGTTTTCTGAGGCCCGACAAATACTATTGGAACACTAAAAAACACTGTTTCGAACGGCGGTTTACTGAATTATATCACCGTATTGAACCTTTAATTTGCCTTTTAGTCGAGCAAACGCAATAGGTGGTAGTATACGCATGAAACCTTAGCGTGACTATAAGGACGAAATAGGAAACAACTTTGCGTGACCACAAGTTCGCCGCATCGTGTACAAGACGAAATTATGATGGTCGAGGCGCACGTTTGGTTGCCTGACTTGAGCGCCACCAATAATAAAAAAATGTCATAGATTCCTTTTTTACGTTTAAACGCCCTACCATTCTTCCTTCAATCGTTATCGATTGAGTAATTTTCGAATAGTGTTTAAAATGAAATTATGCGTTTGACAGTATGTAATAAAAGCTCATCCATCTGGAAGCTCAAGGATGCTCCGTTGGCGTTACCCGTCAGCTGACGCACTACATAGCAATTAATGTTCAGTAAACAATACAACATACCGGGAATATAATTGTCCATCCGGAACGAAATATCTACTTAACTTCAAGGTTCAGACATATTTGTAAATATATATTGATTGATGTGTGAAAATTAGACAAACAAATATTGAAGAGATAGATTGTACTCGAAAAATAAAAAAAAACAATGATCAGTTTTACATCCTTCTATTCCCCGAACTTAGCATGCTACAGAAGGTGGTGGCCCCCTCTGCACATGTTAAAGAGTCAAAGATGGTTCTTGGTTAGGCCAATGATAGACGGGGCGGGTATTATGACCGGCTTGCACCAGAGACCAGACACCACCAATAAAAAAATCACAAGAAAAATGCTCTCTGAAGAACGAACCCGAGACTCCGTCCGCCGAAACTTATGTTACTACACACTAGGCCAGGTCGACCTCTAAACTATACTTGAAAAATACATTGCAAAATTTGGAATCATTCAAACAATTAAAAAACCAGCAGATTTAACAAATAAATTGTGATTTTTTTAATAACATAGAATATAAAATGTCTAATTATAATAACGTTTCCTTGTTATTTTGTACTACAGATAGATTTAAAAAACTAAAATGTCTCTAAATCACCTATTGTATGTTGATTTTCAAACGACTGTAGTTGACGCGCAATACACGTCTGAGATGCGCTTTTTGCATCAATGTCATATCATGATTTTACTTGCTTCCTTTAAACTTTGAAAAAGATTATATATTTATTATACAACAAAAAATGTTAAATGCGCATTGTCGTCGAAAAACACTTTACTCGTTGTTCATACGTACTGATGTAAAATTCTAACGATGTAACTATTTTTTTAAATATACAATGTATTTAAGTTTGTATAAAAACTGTCATAGTTGTTCCATCATCAAGTCAAATGAATGAATAAATACAGNCATCAATGTCATATCATGATTTTACTTGCTTCCTTTAAACTTTGAAAAAGATTATATATTTATTATACAACAAAAAATGTTAAGTGCGCATTATCGTCGAAAAACACTTTACTCGTTGTTCATACGTACTGATGTAAAATTCTAACGATGTAACTATTTTTTTTAAATATACAATGTATTTAAGTTTGTATAAAAACTGTCATAGTTGCTCCATCATCAAATCAAATGAATGAATAAATACATTATATTTAATGAATGCACATTAACTGCAATCGATTCATACCGAGAATAATGATCAAACGCACAATGGTACTGCTGCTAATCGGAAGTAACGAGATTTTTTCCCGACAGAATATCTAATAGTAATAATATTATTATCACAAAGTAAATAACATTACGACCAACCGTGTACTATGTAAAAGAAAACTATCACAGGATTATCAAAAGTTAATAACACTGGGTGTTATTATCGTTTTTTGTTTGTTGATACTTGTGAATTATATTTTCGATGACATTGGTAAAATACAATTTGAGAAAACTACCTCCAAACGGGTTTTTTGCAACGTTTTAGAATTGTCGTGTCAACATAAACAACGAACGTTGATTTTGCAATGTCAATTCGTTTATAGCTTATACATTATTGTCTGTACACGAATTGTTAATTTAATTAGATTTTCTTTTGCTGAGCTTGCTCTCATATCATTATGTCACCCTTCGGTAATCGATCCTAATTAAACATTGTCCCAGCACTTGGTCGATTGATACTATGACGAATCATGCTTTAAAAATACGTAAACCGATTTAACTGACCTATACCCACGTGTTGTGTATAGTAGTCTTCTAGTTAAAATAAAAACAACACAATCGGTTAATCGAATATCACAATAATATATAAAATGATTATGTACATGTGCCTTCCGTAACTCAAATAGTACTTTTTTTGAAACATGTTTATACAACGATAAACTATAAATAATTAACGACTATTTACAATTAACTATTTCATTGATTTGAATATATCAGTGAATAACAGATACTAAGGTCGTTTCATTAGATCATAACCATCTTCTACAAGCTGTGTAATAATTAACACTATGACGCATACCACGATAATATATACGAAATTTTTAAATTTTTAAAACTCTATGACTCATTGTTGTCATGCAGTGATTTTTATTTTCTTAAGGAAAGTTAAAATTATAGATTTTTTTTTTATTTTATTTAAACTACAACACATATAGCTTCAGTGTAATATTTATTTAAAGACGACACTTTGCTCTACATCTACAAGGTGATTAATTTATAACTAACCGCCTAATCAATAAAGAAATATAAACATTATTAAGTATTTTTCATGTTTGTCCTTTGCACCTTATAAGGATTTCAACTTTATTTTTTCATATTGCAACATATATGGATAATTAGCTTATATAATGTATAACCTAATTATGAAAACAGTCGATAACAACTTTTTGACCAGTCATTTTCTTAATTAAATGACTATCTATTAAATAAGCTAACTAAGTACGTACGTTGCTATTTGAAAAAAATAAGTAGTCACCTTTATAACGTATGAGGGAAAAAATTGTTTTGTAACAGTTAAGTTTAAATATATGTGTAACTAACAAACGCCAAGGAAAGAATTCTCAATATAATTTTTATTTTTCGAGTAATTAAGTGGTCCGTGACAAAAGAATAATTCTGTACATGCACTCAAAAATACTAAATAAGATATGCCTTTATATAAAAACGCATAGCCTAATGAAGCAAGATTTAAAAAGATAATATATTCTTGCCAATCTAAGTATTAATTTAATGCTTTTATATTACCACTGAAGGCGATAATCGATTCAATGCAGTTATGTTTAAATAACCAGTTTAATATAATACCGAGTCAATCGCATCAATTTGGCCAGTAGAGGACTACAACATGCGTTTAGCTTATAAAAAGATAACAAAAATTAAGGACCAAGAATATGTATAACCTTTTTACCATGACTTACACATGGATGTTGTGGGTGCAACATTATTGGGTAAAACATTTTTTAAGTTAATTATTACGATATGAAATAAATCTTCTATAGTGCTATAGTAATTTATCGTTTAAGGCTGTAAGAAAACAATACCATATTTTTATTTAATCCTTTCGTTATCCGATAATGTCTTCGAAAGAAATTGATTAATTTTTCGTGATATTTTACACTAATCTTAAAATTTTACTCCAAATAATTCAATTAGCATTTTTAAACAATCTCACCTGTAACTTGTTGAAATTTTTCTCAGCACTACTTATATCTTCCATGTTCAGTCTAGTTCGCAACGTGTTTGCAGCTGCTAGTTTCTCTTGAAACCGAACATCTGAATGTATTGCTTCCTGCGACTCGGCCGCCACCGCATTGCTAGTGCTACTGCTGGAACTGCTACTGCTACTACTCGACTCAAAAGCTTCTTTAACAGTTTTCGAAGAAGACACTCGCCTTTCCGTCGAATACGTCTGACCATCTGATGTGACAATTTTCATAGGCGATGGTCGAGTCAAAGATGGCGCTGCGTTTGATACCAATACAGGAGGTGAGTCTGGGAATGTGACCAGAGGATCGCCACATACACTTCCACTCGCGCTATGGTCTATTTCATCGATGCTACCTCCAAAACCAAGCATAGAAGAGGCAGTCGATGATGACTTTTGAAGCTCTGAAGAAGATGAAGTGGTAGTCATTTCAGATACCTGTCTATGGACACGCTGAGTAGAAGATGACGAAGACGACGAAGAAGCAATACGAGAACAATTGGAAGAAACGTTCGAGGCCTTAAAATTAATTAAAAAATTGATCAAATAAACAAAAATTAGGAAAAAATGTAATGAAAACAAATATTGATTTTCTAAATTCTAAAATAATATAGAAACAAAATGTGTTTTATGTTATAAATTAATCTAAACTATCGAAGATTAGTAGTTTCAAATTAAGAAATACAAAATATTTATTATGTATACTTATCATTGTATTAATAAGCTTCATGTTAGACGCCCTTACTATTACAGTTCAATTATTTTCTAATATAAACGGAATTTAATTTTAATCGTATTAAGTCTAGCTTTTATAGATTTTCCTTTATACAGGTTGATCTATTTATTATAATCCTGTAAATTACCCGCAAAATAATAGATATAATACTGTAAAACAAATTTCTGGTTTTTTTTTTTAACTACATATATTATTTTATTTAACAGTTATTAATTACTTATCCCTTGTATTATCCCTTGTAGCTGAAAGGGTTTTCAACTTTAATTTTTCGAATGATAACATATATATTTAAATAGCTTATAAAATAGAAAATAATGAAGTTTTAACGATTTCAAAAGAGCGAGGAAAAGGCGCAGGTATACTACCTAAATCATTAGATATTTTTTAAACACACTCCTATTTCTTAATTCTTAATTATTTCTTAAACATAAAAATGTAATATAATTTCTGAAAACTAGTTCAAAAATTTTCATCGACCCGTCAATATTTTAATCAGATTGTTTTCTATTTTATAAGTTAGTTATATATGTATGTTTCCGTTAAAAAAATAAAATTTACTCCCCTATGAGTTATAAGAGATGATGATTAGAAGTAATCATTAACTGCTAAATAAAGAAATATTTGTAACTGAAAAAAAAAATCGTTTTATTATATTATATTTTGTCAGTAATTGAGTGGGTTATGATAAAAGAATCACCTGTATAACAAATTTTACGTTATTATTTTTTTTTTTTTAAGCATCTAATAGCAAAATATAGCGATTTGATTCCTATGTTTGTATACAATCAATTTATACTCGAACCATAAAAGGTAATTCAAACAAAGCAACAGATTTTTAAGCATAAGAATTGACTAAGTGTAGGTATACAGAGTGTTCAATAAGTAAGGAAATGGGTTTATATTGTTCTCGTCGTAACAACTTGTTTCTTTACTTAGTAAACACTCTGTATATTATTATACAACTCGTTGGACAGTGACAAGACACTATTCTTCTCCGTTTTAATAATATTTCAACACACGGTGCGTTTATACGAATAAAAATTTAAAAAAAAAAACGAGATAAATGTTTTGTCATCCAACCACCTACGTTTATTACGTACTCGGTATTTTGTGTATTCATCATCTGTCAATATAACACGATCAATTAAATGAGCCACAAGTAAGATTATGTAAATCGTATAAAAAAACACGACCTTGATGTCAACATTAGTATTTAATGTCCTTAATGTAACCTAAACCCGTTATGAAAATAAAAATATCCATTTATCAATTGATAAAGCATCTCTCCTTCGACCATGCAGATTTGTATTAAAATTGTTCCTTCATTTATCCGAAACACAAAAATCAATATGCTTTGGATGATAATTATTGAAAACATGGAGCTGAAAACTATTTGAACGCATCGTCGCATAACATTAAGTGAGATATTAAACTGATATTCATGAAATGAAAGAACATATTTTTAATTTTCTTTATTCGAGACTTCAAATAATACAACACCAACATAAGTTCAAGTACCAAAATATTATCCGTTTATTTACACAAATAAAATCGTGCCGGTGTTTAGTAATTATATTTTCAAGGTTAAAATGTACAATATAAATTTACAGCACTCGTTCAGACAGTTGAATCAGACATTTAACCGTATGCAGCAGCTGACAAAATAATTGATTCACTTTTACTGTTCAACGTGTTGAAATATATTCTTAGAGCTTTTACAGAAATAAGTTGTATTATTCGATAAGTTAAATATTAATTGAACCTAAGGACGACTTTTTTTTTTATTACGATTATTTTAAATGTCTTTATCCTTTTATTAATCTACGTTAAGGCAACGATAACAAGTGTATATATCAACATATTTTCGCAGTGTTTAATTGAATTTATTACAAGTTTGCAACTCAACACCAAGTTAACTAGCCGCGGTATTTATTAAACAGTATTAATTATACTCAACGCGCATTCGATGCCTTTAACGTACACCAACACAATCCACACATGCAAACTGATAATAATAATAATGATAATGATAATTATGCAGCAATACCATCTGGTGGTCGGCGGTTGTTGCAGAGTTTGTAGTGTTGGCGGCGGCCGTAGTGGTCGTGGCCAATCCCATGGACCCGACGCTGTTTTTTCTCTGGAAGTTCTCAATGACCGAGTTGACGTTTTGCATATCTGATCCATCGGTGTCTTTCAAAAACTCCGCCATCTGCGCAAATCGTTTAAAATTAAACCCATTAGATTGTATAAAAATTAAATATTAATATTACTACTATTATTGCACGTGTATACTAAACATCGAACACCAAGTTACAGCCAACAACCAGTCGAATTAAGTAAAATAACCGGCAGTAAATTAGTCATATTATCGTTTTTAATCTTTAACCGCAGAGGTGTGTTAAATATATTTTGATTGTATTTTTTTTTTTTTTATCCGACTAAATATACTTGAAAATATTTACAGGAATAACTACTTTCAATACGACTGTCGATTGAAAATCATTTAAATAATAAAAAAATCACTATTTAAAATAGTGATTTTTTTTTTCACTAGGAATATATTTAATATCATTGCGACAACACTATTGGACCATTAAAAAATATTCTGTGTTTTATGCGGTACACTTATGAAGAGAGTCAGGGACGATTAGAGTTCAACTTTAGTGTTATGAAAAAAACGCCCTCCGGGAAGTATGTTTTTGTTTGGTATAGTTTTACTATTACAAACAAACTTCCAGATTCTTGCTGTACCTCTTTTGAAATTTAGATTAACCTCTTAGATATTAGTGGACAGACGAATTCATGATAACCACTGGTAAATATGACACTAACAAAGCCTACAGACAAAGCCGTCGACCGTCACATAAATCTCATACTCCAGTGCTCCTTTACCGTATTTTATTCTGGCCGTTTGGTCCGCCAAAAATACACTCGGTGCGGTGTCAAAGTACGGCGAAACGCGACTTCAAGGCCAACTACAGAAGCGATCGTTTAAAAATATACACGGCCGTAAGCCAGCCGTGTCTTTTGGAACCACTGGACGAGTCAAAGGCATTTCCTGAAGCACAGCGCTGCAAAATAGCTGATACGGCCGGTCGGATGTCGAGACGGCGCCCACACTGAGCACACAATGCAGTTCTGCCGCAATCGCATGGAAGGTCACGGCGCACTACTCTCTTGTGAATTGTACGCCTACGCTCGCTAGCTAAGCCGACTTGTTTCTTTACTCAACCACTTGTTTACAAGCAAACCGAACAACAAAAAGAAACGCACACGCCCAGTTAGCACATGGCGAAACCGATAGCGATCTTTGTAAAAAAAGCTCTGAAGTCGGTGCTGGCAAACAATGTACACACAAAACACCTTAAGACGGCAAAACACGAGTGGCTTGAACATTTCAGACTGTGAGAAGTTAATAAAATTAACATTCGTCTATCGATAAAGTTCGTGAAAAATCGCCAAGAGCAATAGTAATAAAAAAACAAAACGCCGTAAAATCGACCCATTTTGTCACGTTAGTTGTTGTTGTTGTCGTAACTAACAACTTGACCGAGTTATTTTTCCTTTCATCGTGCATGATTGTGAATTCCAGCGGATTGAAATGCGCAGCGCCTTTTTTGCAAAATAAAAAACAAAGTTGGTCGCAAAACATGTGTAACCAGTCGATACAAAATGCTTTGTGTACTAACTCTTTGTAGGCCAAGCATAAGTAGACTTAAAAACGGTACTAATATATTACAAAATTTAAAGTACAATAACGAGCAAATAAAATTTTGCTGTTTTATTAACACTATTTAAGCATAAAAATTTTTCAGTCTCAAAGATTGTCGAAACTTACAATATTTTAAATTCAAAGTGTTAAATTTATCCTATTATGACGCACATTATAGTAAAACGTTAAAAACAGCATCCTACAACATTAGCATAGACGACCTTGGCTATATTTATAAATTATTTTCAATATTTTAACACTGCAAAATGACACTTTATATTGCCTGATAGGTGTATTGAAATTTTAATAGAATTATTAAAATCGATAAAACAAACTTAGATTGTTCATGAGTTCAATTAGATTAAAATATTATTTCATTGATCCAAAAGAGTTTTTAAGATATACGCAATAAACTTTGCGTAAAATTTATTCACTAACGGATATTCAAATTCATTGATTAAATTGAATACAAAAATTAGAACATTTTATAAATGACAAGTTTAATAGTTTTAAGCATTTTCTCGAGCAGAAAAACATATTTATTTCAAAATTTAAGTAAAAAAATTATATATAAATTTCATAAATGTAGAATAATTTCAAACAATAAAGTATTCAGTAAACTTTACTGTATACAAAATTTCATGAAATTAAAAAAATATCACTTAATATTATTATTATAACTTTTATGTTAAAGATAAATAAATATAGTATTATATAAGAAACAACCAAGTTAAAAATACATTATTATTAAAGAAAATTTTTTTTTTTTTTTATGAAATAAATCTTTTTGGAATAAGGATTAAATATTTTTTTTAAATTAAACAATTTGTCTTCTCGTAGGAAACGTTTGGAACTTGGTCAATATCAACTTAAGATGAACCATTTCTAATAACTGTATGACATAGATTCGTTATTGCGAGAATATACATGATTCTATATATATTTATATTAATTTATTTTTATACTATATAATAACACTACGATGTAGAGAGCACCATAATGTTCATATGGTCAATGTTAAATTAATACGATGGAATATTTTTACCAACACACTGGATGCGTTTAAAATAATATAACACGATACGAACAACATATCGCTAGATAATTTGTTTAAACTGCTAAAATGCGTCACATAAAATACAGTTATTTTCCATTAAATAATAATATACAGTATTGAATTTACAATAATTAGTCTGTTAGTGAGTAAAAACTAGAATTATCGATAAAAAATCAAAACTGATTCCTATATTCATGAAATAAAGTTTATTTAATACTTTATTGTTACAATAAAAGTTACAGCACAAATGAACTAAAGATAAAACAATTAGTCTTTAGTCGGATCAGAATTGATACATGCTAAAATATTACTGACTTGTAACATTTCTTTGATTAGTCCATTTTTATATCAATAAACAGACAAATGAAGAATGTTGTATTATGCCTATAAGTTTTTCTTAGTTTCTAATAGTTAATTCGTCAGTATTAATTAAAATATTAATGACAACATTTAACTTATGAACTTCCATTATTGAAAAAATCGAATAATAGGCCAGAAGTGTTACACGCAGTGCGGTCATTTCAGATTATGACAGAATAGGGTAAACTTTTGACAGGCCCATTAAAAAAACCGCTAGCGATTTAATCTCCCATAATTTAGTGGTTTNTATGAACTTCCATTATTGAAAAAATCGAATAATAGGCCAGAAGTGTTACACGCAGTGCGGTCATTTCAGATTATGACAGAATAAGGTAAACTTTTGACAGGCCCATTAAAAAAACCGCTAGCGATTTAATCTCCCATAATTAAACCACTAAACTAATTTTATATAAAAAAAAATTTAATGAATGGTTTTAAGAATTTTTTGTTTTTACAATTTTACACATAAAATGTATGTGTTTAAACTTTTTTGTTAGTTTTTAGGCTTCTGACACATATGATTTCAATAAAATTATATTTTTATGAATAAAATTTGAATTTTTATTATGATTTATAGATTAAATTTAAATGACTCGGTGTATCTCGGCTCAGTATAATTTGTACTCTACTTGGCAAAATTTAATCGTTTAGTCGGCAATTTTTTAATACAAGGGAGATACTACCGAGTAATAATAATTAAAAAAAAAAGGTCACATAATTTAATAGAAATTATTTAATTGACAAACATTAATTTTTCATCCCCCCTCCTATTTTTAGCTTCGGGGCGGCTTTGAGGAGAAGTAAATTTTAACTGAATATCGATAGAACGTATATAAATTGGTTACTCACAATTAATACAACGAAAATTGGAACATCAAAAAGCTAGTTAATTAAAGAGTATAGCAAAGATTTGATTAATTTATTAACGATGAAAAATTACTAGAACATTTTAATGATTAATAGGCATTTAATAAGTAGTTACAATCATTTGTATAACGACCTTTGTAACAAGTTCAACGACATTTTAAATCAATAAAAAGACGTTCAAAGATAACGGTTTTCTTACAGATAAATCATTTCAACAGCTGTTAATCAACAATTATGACGTACCCATATAGTGCACTAATCGGCTGTTAATAAAAAACATGTACATATTAAAACGTTAATGCCCGAAGAGTTACTTGAATAATACTACGGGAATGAGAACAGAGTTTTTTTAACGAGTACGAGAAAGTATTGTTATTGTTGTTACAGTGTATTGTTTATGAACCCAAAAATAACGTTTACTTACCAGTGTGGGCATGTGATCAAAATGAGAAAAATTATTCTGCAAAAAGGAAAATACATGTTTAGTTTTTTGTCTCAAATTTAACGTAAGAGTTTTAGAACATTTTCTATCTCGAGATGATTTGTAACTGTTCCAAGATATTTTACAAGTGTAGGGTAAACAAAATACCAAAGGCTCGTTAAGATATTTTTACCGTAAACGTCATTTTGTTATGGCAATCTAACTTTCGATTTTCAAGGTGTTATCAGGTTAAGGCAGACGACATGTACCGCACTTATCATGCAGCTAAAACTTCTGTTATTTTTAAGTATCGACGTATCTGTTTTTGGGTTATCTATTGCCTACGGCGGGTTAATATTAACAAAAAAGAAAATTTAACGATTCAAAGGCCAGAAATATAAAACTGCATTCGAATAGAGTTGTGTTATTTTGCTAAACAGTGCGAGGGAGGAACGAGTTAACTAGTAACCGGCGCGTCTTGCAATCGCCCACCAGTTCCGGTCCGACTACCGTTTCTACATAATCAAGTACACACACATTGTCAGGGTGTTTCGACGTTATACCTGGTCACTTTGTTGGCGAAAATATTGCCTGTGTCGACTCGAATGAAAAAACAAAACTAGCAGTTCAATTTTTTTATCGTGCAAATTTTCCACGACACAAAAATATTACAATGAGCTTTATTTCGATGGAAGTGTCGCCTCGTACTACGTCAACAAAACGTCGAGCCACAGGCAGTCTGCCCAAATACGCCGGTCTTATGTTGGAATGTCAAGGATTCCGGTCATTAGGAATTTTAACGTAACACAACAGGTATTGCGCGATGAGAAAAGGAGTGTACAATCATAGAGATAATAATAATAATAATAGTTGGTACACCACCATACACGAAATACAAACGACATGTCCGTTTGTGTACAATATTATCATATTTTAATGAGTAATTATTTCAAACAATGTAAGTAGTGATTTGTGAATTTGTCGCGACCCCAAATGCTCACGTTCGATTTTACATGCTTTTACACAGCGCCAACAATACAAGTTAAAACAGTTTAAGTCGCCCAAACCTTCGACGGTTGTTTTTTTTTTACATCGGAAACGAAACGTGCCAGCTACCGTCTAGTACTTGTAATAAAACAAAATTAGTGGACATTATGTGTTCGTGTAATCAACATTGTGAAATATTACGTGCACGACCAAAGTCATTGCGAACAATTTCTGCGAATTTAAGTGCGTAATCTTTGCCGATGTCAACAAATCCAAAGGTTCATTCATTTTCTATAAAAAGAAACGAATTCCGTCCACTAAATACCACCACCGTAACCAAATGCTACATAGTCTAGACAATTCAAGCTTATAAAAGAAATAGAATGTTTTAATACAGTGTAACGCGCTTATAAATAATATTCTAAAAAAATTCGAACAATAAGAATGTATTTTTTTCAACAATATAATCGACAGTTTTCTAAAAAAAGAAATATTGAAATAGAAATATAATAATTTTAAACTACTCGTTTAAAAAAAATCATAATATCGCCAAAAATGTTCTGATTTCATATTGTTTTTTTTTTTCTAAAATTAATGAGATTAAAACAATTAAGTCGGCGCGTAACGATGTAATGAACTAATATTACTACTTATAATCGATAAGTAAATCAATTGAAATATTTACACTATTTACCATACAGCTTTATTTAATATATATATATATATTTTTGTTAATAGTTTGCAAAGAAAATAAACAATCGAAACATTAAACAATGGATAGCGCCGACATGAAATTTAAACGATTTTTTTTTATTAACGTGTGCCGGTCGAGATTACTGTCTTACGATTTGCGCGGCGACAATAGAACACGTTGTTTTAATCACTGAAAACGTTAAATACCTCAACATTAAACAAACCTGCAGATTGGTAATAATTACGGGATAATGATATTTTTCAAGGGTTACACTTACTTTTTTGTGTACGAATAATCCTCTCGGACGGATTAGCGGTTGCGAAGGCATCCCCGTGGAGATTTCCTCGTGAGTATCCAATTACAGGGCAAAAAAGTCACAATACGCCAAATGAGATTGCGTCGTAGCCGGTCGAGTGGATATCATCGAATTTCCCCAAGTCGAATAAACACGTGCGAAAATGTTATTGCCGTCGAAGTGAACGACTTATTCGCGAGTTACCCACAACGGTATTAATATTATTGCCGATATCGTACTAATCAACGGCACCTCGAATAAATAATAAAGCACCGGAAACGAAAAAAAAAAACTATTTAATAACAAAAAAACGATAAACAAATCGATATTTTTTAATTATTAAAATTTTTTTTGTTAATATTACGCGCACTTCACACACACACACACACACACACACCGGACGTCGTGGCGGCAATACGATTGTGAGCAGTTGCGGCAGCCGACCGGTCGTTTTATACGAAACGCGTGTGCTTGGCGCGGGAGTTGCTCTTCGTCGTCGACCGCTTAAGCATAACACGATAATATCGCACGGAAAATAAGTGTAATTTTTTTAGAGCGGCCGGCTGTCTTGCCGAGCGGAGAAAACGCGCCGGTCTAGGGAAACATATTGTACACCGTTTCCAAAGGTCATACGTCTTATTCTAATAGACCGTAACTCGACAAATGTTCTGCATTTGTACTGTTGTTTGCATAACTGTTACTGAATTGGTATTGTGTACTCAGATTTTTTTCATTTTAGTTTCCTCCGAGTCGGTTCACAAAATGCTTTAAATATTCTATTTATGTTTAGAATGCAGTCTAGTTTTTTCACGACAACAACCATCAAAGGATTTTATTTTTCAATTTTGAAGTATGCTTAAATGAATAAAAAAATAACCACCAGTGAAACAAACACTTCAATAGTAACCAATAATTTAATCAATGTCAAAGCGCACATTTTGCTTAAACGGGTTTAAATTGTTATTATTAACTTACTTGTTACGAAAAAGTAAGTTTGGAAATATCAAAAGAAACTATTTTTATAAAAAAGAGGGAAATATTGAAAAAGGTTACTTCGAAACATCAGTTAAAAAAATTATTTCAAATTCCCGTACTTCGACACTGAAGTAGTGGTAATCGCTCTACGTGGCATTGATAAAGATGTCAATCTTTTCATGCCTGAATCTTCCAGAATCACTGTAAAACATTTAATTAAAATGAGCAATAATCATATTCTCCATAATACACGACCCTTTGGGTTCTTTTCTTTGTAGAGACCAATTATACTTTTAGTCTACTCGATAAAAAAAACAAATTCGTTTTTTTAGATCATTTATGAACATTATTATAGTCAAATAAAAAAGTATAATTTTCATAGTTTTACTCCATTATTTTTAGGCATTGTATTAGGCACTATAATAAACACTCTAATATATACGTTTATTTTAAATTATTTTAACTATATTAATTAGGTTTTACATTGTTATTTATAAATAATTTAAAAAATGAATTAATCTACACTACAGAGCCATAGTGAAGGAGATACAGCCCCTATTGGCTAATTATTACTATAAATAATATATGACATGGAGTAAGTAAAAGCATCTGATAAGTTAAAAAAGGTCCTCAGCCAACCCTAAAACAAAAGTCATAGCTATACCACTGCTATAAATATATAATTTATTATAAGATAATAAAAATCAATATGTTTAAACTATTATTACTGGTTATAGACTAAGTGAAAGTATTATTTAATTCTTTAAATAATATTTTGAAAAAAATTATCTAGAGAAAAATAGTTTTTTTTTTTTAATATCAAGTAGTTATGTAAAAGAATTATCTTAATTTATACTTCGACCAATTTTAGCTTATTGATATTGTGATACTTTAACCTTCACACTTAAAAATGCAATTTAATTATTACAAATACATATATAATTGACGCATATTTGTACATTAAAATCATAATTTAAATATTCAGCATTAATAATGAACTTTACAGTTCAATATTGATTTTTGACATGTGAAACTTTGTAATTATTTCACATTTAATATATAACTTTTTTTTTCTAAGAGTTATAGTTATTAAATCAAAATTAGGTTTCTCTAAAAACATAAATATGTTTTATCTAAAACGAAATTGTGTAAAATGCTTATGCATAGAGTAAATTTAATATTAAATATAACATAACTGTTGAACTGTGAACAAATCCAACTTAAAATTATTCTTCTAGAAATAAGAGTGTCCTATTTCTACAAACGAGTTTAAAATTTCGTGAAAATAGTTTTCTAAGAAAATTTTACTCATGAATTGTGAAAGTGTTCGTCCATTTTCCTCTATGAAAAGAGGTTCTAACAAGTTGCTGTCGTCAAATGGGCGATGACTAATAATTTCTGATTTACTAACCTATCTGTCATACGAAATACATTTTTCTTAATACTTTCGTAAACCATTGCCAAAATATCTGACTTTGTTTGATTAAAATACAAAAACTGGTGTTTCGTATCAAGAAACCTTGTATATTGCAAAAAAAAATTTAATTACCTAGTTAGCCTTTTAAAATTATCCCCTAATCTATTTTATTTTCAATAACTTATTTTATAATTTATCGTATAATTTATTAGGAATAAAATATTTTTAAAAAATGTTCTATGAAATAAAATGATTTGACCATAAATATATTATACCATTGAAAATTAATTGATAACTAGTTAATGTTGATCATTGAAGAATTAATTAATAGGCACAAAATATAAATATGCTTAAAAATATTTATTCATTTTATGTTTTAACTTAACACTTTAATTACAAATCAAATAAATTATTGAAATAGTGATTAATGTTGTATTTATAAATGTCCCTTATCTCTTATTGTACACTTATGTTTTTAAATGGTCATTACGAAAAAAAATTTCATTGATAAAAAAAAAAGCTAAAATAAACTTAAAAATTAAATTTCACATAAGTTTTTTTCAAATAATACACGTAAAACGATGGATCAATTGAAATGTAAGCATAAAAAATAATTAATTATACTAAATTAATAACGAGTGAAGATTAAATTTTTTTTTTTTTTTTAAGCTTCAACTTCTAAGGTTATTAGCTTGAACAAAATTAAATTATTTGGTTACATATAATATTATACAATAGTATTTCTTAAACTAGTTTCGCATATAAAAAATTTTTTTTTTAAAGATAAATTTATAACTCCTAACAAACTAAATTATAAAGTAAACGTTATTTATCAAGTAAATCTCACAAGAAATATTACTGAATATTTGTATAAATGTCTTTTTAAAGGTTTCTTAAGCCAGAATATTGGCTATTTTTTTTTTTCTAATATAACAGCTTGAGATCTATGATGAGTTTGCTTGTAAGGTTAAAAGTAAAAAAAAAAAATTCTACACTGATGCCTCCATTATGAGCCAATTTTTGCGCCTACGCCTGCAGACAACTACCGACGCCACAAACATAATATGACTGCACCCTCAATATTCATTTAAGCGCCGCAATAATTAATAAACAGTATTCTGTATAGTTCCATAAAATTACTACATTTACTTTAACTTCGGTTTAATTACCGGAAACATTTACCATCATTCCTTTGCCCCAGAGTATAACACTGAAAATGACAACCATTTATTTACAAGTTATTCAATTTTAATTAGTTATAGTCAATAAAATTAAATCGAAACAAATTTCAAATAATTCTACATTTTTTCCAAAAAAATCAAACATTATTTACGTCAATTGTAATTATATAAAAAAACTACATATTTATGAATGTTTTATCATAATTTGATATTTTATATTATTTAAAATAAACAACATTCTTTAGACAAAATTTAATTGTTGTTAATGTATAAAAGGCAGTTTATAAAACGACGAATGAGCCTCAACGTTTATGATTAAAATTGTAATTTAAGTCTGAAAGCGGATTATTAGAGACTGTCCCAACAAAAATTAATTATTTATGCATAAAATTATCGACACCAACCGTTTATTCTTCATTAATTATTAATGTCTAGCAGATTCATAAAATTTACTAAACGTTTATTATCAAGGTTCAAAAATTTGAAAACTATAGACTTTTTGTTTGGAAGATCGAGGAAGAAAGCCATGTAAACATGACTCATAACGACTGACTCAATAACAATTCCCCGTAATCTTCATATCGACCAAAACGTGCACAAGCGCTTTTGGCATGCCATGTTTAATTGCAAGACACATAATTAAGGTTAAATTGGCCGTTGTCCCAAGATAAAATGATAACATTTCGGAGGAAAAATTTACCAAGTTCTCTATACTAGAACTATATTTGCCAGTAATAGGTAAAAGTTGAAAATACTATTCGTAGAAAAATGTAATTGATTGCGAAATTCGGTAAATTTAAAGATCATCTAAAATAAATAAGTAGAAATAAACCAGATGTACGAAAAGGATCTCGCATCATTTAATAAAATTGAAGGCTGTACTTGAGTTTTAAACCTATTCCTATTCAATTTTATTCCCTTTCAAATTAATGTTAATAACACTCTTAATTGAATTCAAGCGAAATCAAAACTACTAGAACAACAATTAGAATTAGATACTTAAAATATATAAAGAAACTACAATATATGTTTAGGTAATTAATATTTTGTAATTGGGAAAATTTAAATTAGGTACAGCTATATTCATATCATCTTAAACATTTAAGTGAATATATAATTGCAATATTTTACAATTTTTTCAAGAGGATAATAATAAAAAAATTAAACTATACAATATATTATATACATCTAGCAAACAGTTTTCCACGTTAATTTAATTGACAGTGTTATTACTGAAAATATTTGTATTAGACAATAATTGTGTGGGTAAATTTTCAGTGTCATTTATATTCACAACACTGATGGCTCATATATATTAATTAGTCTGATAAACGTTCCGCGTGTAATGAAAGAATGGAATTAAAAAAGAGTTGAATGACTCATTCGGTAGCGTCGTTCTCAAAAAAAAAAAATCTCAGTAACATAATATTCATTTATATTATTGTACTGTTAATTTTTAATTTTTTGTGTACAATAGCCAATATAATGGTATCGACCTAGCCTAAAATAAAACCTTGAAATATGAATTTAGTGCATAATAATTGTACCCTTTTCTTATTTAAAATAAAACATATAAATTACATCATCCTTAATAATAGTACGACGATCTTTGTTTTTGGTACGAGTGGTATTTTCAATATCTTTTGTTTTTAATCATGTCACGAACTTAAAAAGTATATAAATGACAAATACTTTTATTAATTAATTTCACTAACAAAAATATAATATAAATATCGTAATATTTATGTATCAAGCTATTTATTTCAGAATCAAATCATTTTCTTTTCGAGTCAAATAATAAATCGTTATTTTTAATTTAACTAAATTATATGAATAACGTGAAAACTCCATAAATCAAG